TTTTAACACTAAAAACTACTTTTTCAAGACATTTCTACTACCTTTTGGCTCAGTCATATGCTGGTTGTTGTCACCACTGCTGGTTTGCGGCTGTGCTAAACGCCGCAACATATGCCAGTTAGCACAGTTATGCGCCATTGCAGACAACAGATGGCGCCAGCAGTTTCAATTGTTAATTAACTTTGAAATATTTGTAATTGAATTAAATTACGTTTCATTTGTATTTTAGGTAATTGCCGGACCGCTATTCCACGGCTGGCTGGAGCCCTCGGCGGATGTGGCCACATGGCTAAAAAAGATACGCAACGCCCAGAGCGATGAGGCTGAAGAGGCTAATTTAAGGAATTTCGTTGTCGATCGCTGTGTGCGTACCAAATAATGATCTTTAACCTCCTGTATTTTCAATTTTTTAATTATTTTTTATTGCATTTCCATTTAGCTGTGGTACGAAACGAAACGGGATATTAGTGCAGGCGCTGAAATCGTGGTCGATCCCCGCTCCCGCACGCCCTACGACATCAGCGAGAGCCTGCGGAATGGCAGCATCAGCTGCAGCAGCAGTGGCAGCAGCAGCGCGGCAGCAGTGGCAGCAACTGCAGCAGCCGCAGCCGCCGCCGCTGCCGCAGCAGCCGCCATGGCAGCCGCTAGCAACAACAACAACAACATCAACAATAACAATAACAACAACAATAGCGATGATCGCAGCGATCGTGATAACGGTGAGTGCTCAGATTGAGATTGAAATGTTGATATATCGGATATGTATATATATATATATTATATACGTATATATATGCTGGCAGCAGGATAAATTGTACAGCTGAAGCAATTAGAGTTCAGTTTGCTGCATGAAATGCGCGTGACAAAGTCAACGGCACGAGCCAACAACAACAACAACAACAACAACAACAACGACAGCAACAACAATAGCATCGACCAGCATCCCCTATATATATATAAGGGCTAAGCCCGTCAACCCCCTCCCCTTGGCATGTCCTTTTTGCGCATGCGCGCATGCAATCTGCGGCAACCGCACATGTTTTCATTTGTTATTAAAATGTTTGTTAATTTCATTTAGAGATCCATCAGCGCACGCTCAATTTAAGCCTAATCCAATGGCCTCGCGAACACCCTAATGTACATTAGGGTGCTCCGTGTTTGCCTATAAATATGTGGGATTTATGCACACGTCTCATTTGACAATATTCCATAGATTCCCAGCGGGCTTTGCCACTGATATCCTGTTCTAGTTGTTGTTGTTGTTGTTGTCGCCGTTGTCCTTGTTGTTGGCTTTTCAACTTATATTTCCCATCTTGATATCAATGTCAGCTTAAAAATACATATTAATTTTTTATTTTAATACTTGATACAGTG